GTAGCATGTGGAGGCTATGGGTTCTTCTTATCTTCTCCATTCCTTTGTCTTCATTATTTCAATGATGAGTCAAATAAAAAAAATTCTCTTTTTTCTTTTTTCTTTCTTACACATCGATTTCACATCACCCAGAAAGAAAAATTGAATTTTTAAAAATTTTCTGTAAGTGGAAACAGATACAGATGGCTTTTTTGTGACAGAATGGGCCAAAAAAAAAGATAATAATTGATTTCACTCCATTTATGGCTAAAAAGCTAACACTATGCACACACTTATGAAGTCAATTGATCTTCTGGGTTTTCTCTATTTTACAAAATGGTGTTCTTGATCAAAAATTTTAGAGATTTAGGGTTTTAATGTTCTTGGGTTTTTGGGGAAATTTGTTCTCTGGGGTTTATTCAAATTCAGGTAAAGAGAAATCAATCAGATATATGAGAAAAATAGCATGTGCTTGAATGTGACCTACTTTGTTTTCTTTTCTATAATTTGGGAACAAAGTTTGGTTGTCTTATTTATTGTTACTTTATAGGTTTCACTCTATTAGACAAGACTTTACAAATCTCTGCCAAATTACCGAAATTTTTTTTCTTTGGTTGAGATTCAGAAATTATCTTCCTTTTTGATTTACAGGTTAGGTTTTGAAGATTTAGAGTAACCATGACCATGGATCTCAATCTAGGAAAATGTTGTGGTTCTAGAAAGGTTTGTCAGATTTGTTCAGTTTTGGAGCTTATTTAAAGTTGGAATCTTTGAAGTTTTTTTTTGTTGTTGATGTGGTTTACAATTATGCAGAAGGAATCATGGAGGTCGGTTTTGCTTCTTGCTTATCAGAGTCTTGGTGTTGTCTATGGTGATTTAAGTATTTCTCCACTTTATGTGTTTAAGAGCACTTTTGCTGAAGACATTCGACATTCAGAGACCAATGAAGAGATTTATGGTGTTTTGTCTTTTGTTTTCTGGACTTTAACTTTGCTCCCTTTGCTCAAGTATGTCTTCATTGTCCTTCGAGCTGATGATAACGGAGAAGGTAAGAGAGACAGAGAAATCATTGAAAAAACCGAAATTATATTTGCTCGTTTGCTTATGTAGTTTGTGTTAAAATTTTATCAGGTGGAACTTTTGCTTTGTACTCACTGATCTGCCGTCATGTCAAAGTTAGCCTCCTTCCAAATCGACAAGTCTCTGACGAGGCACTGTCCACTTATAAACTGGAGCATCCACCGGAGAAGAACCATGACTCGTGTGTGAAAAGATATCTAGAGAAGCACAAGTGGTTACACACTGCTTTGCTGCTTCTGGTTCTTCTTGGTACTTGTATGGTTATTGGAGATGGACTTCTCACTCCAGCTATCTCCGGTATGGTTGCTTCTGTGTGTGTAGAATCTTAATGTCTAATTGTTGGCTAAAAGAGTTGTCTAATATTTTGTTGTTGTTGTATGTAGTGTTCTCTGCTGTGTCAGGTCTTGAGCTGCATATGTCAAAAGAACATCACCAATGTAAGTAGACAAAGTCTGGTTTAGTGTTAGGTTTTGCTCCTTCAGTTCTGATGAATGATGGTTTCCTTTGTTGATCAAATGCGCAGATGCTGTGATTCCTATAACCTGCTTCATATTAGTCTGCCTTTTCGCGCTTCAACATTTTGGGACACATCGTGTTGGGTTTGTTTTCGCGCCTATCGTCCTTACTTGGCTGCTCTGTATTAGCGGTATTGGCTTGTACAATATAATACAGTGGAATCCTCATGTATATAAAGCTCTTTCTCCTAAATATATGTTCATGTTCTTGAGAAAGACGAGAGTAAGTGGATGGATGTCTCTAGGTGGGATCTTGTTGTGTATAACTGGTGAGTTATTAGATATCTGTTGGCCTCCTCATATATTGTTAATGTCTCCATGAGATAAAATGTATGTAATTTAACTCGTTGAGTCTCTGTTTTAGGTGCTGAGGCCATGTTTGCTGATCTTGGTCACTTCAATTACGCGGCAATTCAGGCAAGTTTATACTTTAGTTTGGATGCTTATTGTTATATCCCCTCAGGTTTCAGTAATCTATGTTTTGTTTGTTGTAGATTGCGTTTACTTTCCTGGTTTATCCGGCTCTTATACTGGCATACATGGGACAAGCTGCTTACCTATCCCGGCATCACAATTCTGCTTACGCGATTGGGTTTTACGTCTCTGTGCCAAGTTAGTAGTTTGCTTTAATTCAAGAACTGAAATTTTATTTGGTGTTGACCATTGAGAACAAAATCTTAACTCTTCTGTATTTAAATCCTTGGTTTTGATCAGAATGTGTGCACTGGCCTGTGCTTATGATAGCGATTCTTGCTTCTGTTGTTGGAAGCCAAGCGATCATCAGCGGGACTTTCTCAATTATAAACCAAAGCCAGTCTCTTGGATGCTTCCCTCGAGTAAAAGTCATTCACACATCGGATAAGATTCATGGTCAGATTTACATACCCGAGATTAACTGGATGCTCATGGTTCTCTGCATCGCTGTTACTATTGGGTTTAGAGACGTCAAACACCTGGGAAATGCATCAGGTATATGATTCTTTTATCAGCTCAATAATTCCTGATTCTTCGATTTTGAGATTATATATATTTGTTCCTTTTGTGTTTGCAGGTTTGGCTGTAATGGCGGTTATGCTAGTGACAACATGTCTTATGTCATTGGTCATTGTTCTTTGCTGGCACAAGCCTCCAATTCTAGCCCTCGCGTTCCTTCTCTTTTTCGGTTCAATAGAGCTTCTCTACTTCTCGGCCTCCCTTACCAAATTCCGTGAAGGCGCTTGGCTTCCGATCCTTTTATCCCTATTTTTCATGAGCATCATGTTCGTTTGGCATTACACCACCATCAAGAAATACGAGTTTGATCTCCAGAACAAAGTCTCGCTTGAATGGCTTCTTGCGTTAGGTCCAAGCCTCGGAATTTCGCGAGTTCCAGGGATCGGTTTAGTCTTCACGGATTTAACTTCCGGAATCCCTGCCAATTTCTCTCGGTTCGTCACAAATCTCCCTGCTTTCCACCGTGTTCTCGTCTTTGTCTGCGTTAAATCTGTCCCAGTCCCATTTGTTCCACCCGCTGAGAGGTACCTTGTGGGTCGTGTGGGTCCCGTGGACCACCGCTCTTACCGCTGCATTGTGAGGTATGGATACCGCGATGTCCACCAAGATGTCGACTCATTCGAATCAGAACTGGTGAGCAAGCTTGCAGATTTCATCCGTTACGACTGGCACAGAAGAACACAAGAGGACGACACGGCTCGCTCTGTCCGGTCTAACGAATCCTCAAGCGAGTCAAGACTCGCCGTGATAGGAACCGTAGCATACGAGATAGAAGAGAATCTCCAACCGGATAGCGTATCCATCGAATTCTCCACGGTAGAGAGCATGGAAGACGTCATAGAAATGGCAGAAGCGCCGCCAACCATAAAACGGGTGAGGTTTGCGGTTGAAGAAGACAGTTACGAGGATGAAGGATCGTCAGCCTCGGCCGAAGCAGAGGCGGAACTGAGAAATGAGCTGAGAGATTTGGTGGCAGCGCAAGAGGCCGGGACGGCGTTTATATTGGGACATTCACATGTTAAAGCTAAACAAGGATCATCGGTGATGAAAAGATTAGCCGTTAATTTCGGTTATAATTTCTTGAGGAGAAATTGTAGAGGACCTGACGTGGCTCTTAAGGTACCACCGGTTTCTCTTTTAGAAGTTGGCATGGTTTATGTTGTCTGATACTTTAGAAACC